TATGGACTGCCCTAGAGCTGGTTTGCTGATCGTTTCTCCCCGCTCTGATCCCCAAAATCCACCAAAACAACTTTTCCCTGCAGTCTCTGAGAGTTTTTTTTTTTTTTTTTTTTTTTTTTTTTAATTGGGTGACCCTATGTATTGGGCTTTGTAATCAAAAGCAAGGATTTAAAAAGAAAAAAGAGCCAGAGTAAGTGTGTGAACTCACCATGTTTTTGCCCTGGCACTGCATACGACTCTGTTCATGTATCTGTGCATGTATTTTTCCCCTGGCAAAGCACAGTTAGTTTACTGATAAACCTTCAGGCTGCCTTTTTGTAATCAGCCCAGGTATGGGTTGATTTCTAGAGTTCCCTTCTTCCAGCAGCCCTACAGACCCCCTTCCACACTCGTGGACTATAGTCCCAACGTCCATGGATTTTGTGGGGGCGCAGACTTCCTCTGAACCACTAGATTGCATTGCACATGTTTCTCCCTTCAGTCTGGAACGCAGACCTCACCTTTCTCTGGTTGAAATATGATCTTTCTGTGAGAAAGTGCAGAGCTCGTTCGAGTCCCTGTATTTGTGCTGCTTGAGACCTGGTGTTTGTGAGTTCACAGCTGGTCCCTGGGTGCTGTGGTTAAAGGATCTTGGGAAATATATGGTTCTTCCTGACTGAAGGTAAGGCTAGGCTGCTGGTCACAGCCACTCTCCCCTTCAAGATGGTGCGGCCTCTGCATCTTTTCCTACGTTTTAGTGGGCATTTTACAATTATAGGAAGAAATCAATAGAGAGGAACATAGAATGGGCTGTACATTTCTTTCTGTTTGCCAGATCCCCAATGAACTATGGCAGGCTTCCTATTCAACAACTCAGTGGACACTCAGTGATGACCAGCTGTGTTCCAGCAGGCACTCTATATGAGCCATTTCCCTAACCTTTAGGAGTGAAGGTGAATCCTACTGGGTGAACAGGATTTTTCCTTCTTAGTGCTCACTTGGTCTTCATTTTATCTTGGGGACAGTCCCTCTCCCTGTAAGTGGGGTTTTGACTCCCTCACATAAGCTGCAAGTCTTTTGTTTTAATTTATTTTTCATTATAACTTAAAATTATTTATTTAATTTTTAAATCTTTATTTTTGAGAGTATTACATATATCTCTCCCTTTTACCTTCACCTCCTCTACCCAGATCCCACCCTGCCCCAGGCTTTCAATCTTCAATGTTCTTTTATCTCCCTGTATGTCCTTGGATCCTTTTAAGCTGCTGCCCAAGGGTAATGCATATAAGTTCTTTGGTTAATCTACCTCCTACCCCACCCCCGACTTCCTTCTGAGATTTGTCAGTCTGTTCCATGTTTCCATGCCTCTGGTTCTATTTTATTCATCAGTTTATTTTATTCATTAGATTCCTAGTTTGTTCATTTTGATTTTTAGGTTAAATTGTTGATAAATATATATTTATTGGCATTTTATTGTTCATATTTTGTATCTTTAAATTTTTTTTCTTCTACTTAAAGAAGAGCCTTTAACATTTCATGTAATACTGGTTTGATGGTGATGAATTCCTTAAGCTTTTTCCTTCTTTTTTTTTTTTTTTTAAAATATATTTTATTGATTTTGTACAGAGAGGAAGGGAGAGAGATAGAAAGTTAGAAACATCCATGAGAGAGTCATCATCAATCAGCTGCCTCTTGCACACCCCCTACTAAAAATATGCCCACAACCAAGGCACATGCCCTTGACCGAAATCAAACCCGGGACCTTCCAGACCCCAAGCCGACTATCCATTGAGCCAAACTGGTTTCAGTCTTAAGCTTTTTCTTATCTGTGAAGCTCTTTATCTGACTTTCAGTTTTAAATGATAGCTTTTCTGAATAGTGTAATCTTGGTTGTAGGTCTTTGCTTTTCATCACTTTAAATATTTCTTGTCACTCCCTTCTGGCCTGCAAAATTTCTGTTGAGAAATTAGCTGATAGCCATATGGGTGCTGCCTGGTAGGTAACTAAAATTGCTTTTCTCTTGCTGCTTTTAAGATTTTCTCTTCATCTTTAACCCTTGGCATTTTAATTATGATGTGTCTTGGTGTGGTCTACTTTAGGTTCATCTTGTTGGGGACTCTCTGCAATCCTGGACTTGTATGTCTATTTCTTTCACCAGTTAGGGGGAATTTTCTTTCATTATTTCTTTAAATAGTCTTTCAATTTCTTGCTCCCTCTTTTCTACTTCCAGCACCCTCACAGTACAGATGTTTGGATGTTTTTTGCTTTCTCACATTCCAAATTACTGATTTGATTCTCAGCCCCTACTGTTTATTCCCTGTAAATTATTCTTCATTTCAGACAATGTATCCCTGGGACCTCCCTGGAAGTAAAAAGTTAGCCACTGCCTGTATCCTGCCTGGGACTGACTGCCCAGCACAAGCTACAGAGTAATCTATAGATGGCTGCTACTTATGTTGGGCTTAGAGATACCCAGGAGAGGCCAACCTGGGAAGCAAGGCTAGCTTCTGCTAGTGCTGGACCTAGGGCCACTTATTGAGAAGTATGGGGTACACTGAATCCAGCTGCTGCTTGTTTGAGAGATTTTAGGAACATCTGAAGCCTGAGCCAGGACAGGCCATTCTATAGAAAAGCCATTGCAAACTGTTTGGGTGGGGCTGCATATTGGGTTGGGTATTCCTTAGGGAATTATCAGCGCACATGTGTCAAACACAAGGCCCGCGGGCCAAATCCGTCCCGCCAGGCCTTGCAATGTGGCCCGCACCGCGCTGTCATCACTGCACTCCGCTGCGTTTCCATCACAATGACAGTTTATGACTGTTCAGTAAACCATTCGGCCCGCGATTTAGGCTGGATTTTAGATTTTGGCCCCTTCTCTGATTGAGTTCGACACCCCTACCTTAGGGAATTATCAGCGTGGTGCAAACAGTGATGGAGACTAAGGTATGGCACCTGTCAGTCAGCTTTGTGGGGGTGATGGGAGGTCTTAACATTTTTGTCTAAGAGAAAGCTACCCTGAGTTCTTGATCTGATGCCAGACAATTTAGTTCCTCCCTGTGTGTCCCTGGATCCTTTCAAGCTGCTGCTCCGGTATTGGAGCTCAGAGGGAGTAAGTCTGAGTAAGTCTGTGTACAGCCTTTTAAGAGGAAGACCTGGGACTCCAGCAACCTTGTGTGTCACTCAGCCACAATCCACACTGGTTTTTATAGCCCAAAGTTATGGGACTTCTCTTTCTAGCACTGGAACCATGTGGTCTGGTGTGGGGCTGGGACCCCTTGTTCCTCATGGGAGGCCTCCACAGTCAAGGTAACCCTCCTGAGTAAAAATACACCACACGTGGATGTCAGCCCAGCTCATTCCATGCTTCCACCCCTCCTATCAGTCTCACTGTGCTTTCTTCTTTAATTCTCTAGTTGTCGGACTTCCATTCAGCCAGATTTCAGGCAGTTCTGAGTGATGGTTGTTCTGTATTTTAGTTGTAATTTTGATGTGGTTTTGGGAGGATGTGAGTACCAGCGTTTACTATCTATGCCAGTGTTTTGGTTCCTATCTCTCCTGCAAGTCCTTTTTCTAACTGCCGTTAGTGTGGCCAGGGAAAGGCTTTGTCCTTCTGAAATCATCAGAGCCAAAGACCGTGGAAATATAAGAAGAGCCTGCCTGCGAATGATGGCAACAGAGAGGAAAGCAGTGCCGGCCTGGGAAAGGAGGGTAGAGACAGTGAAAAAGAGAAAGAGTCTAGGGATCCAGTTTCTGAATTGGTATATTAGAATCTATCTGTGCTTGAAGCTAAAACAGTTAATAAATTCTTTTTCCACTTAAGATATTTTTCATTGAGCTTCTGTCACATGTCACTAAAAGAGCCCTATGAAGCAGGGTTTCACTTACCTGTGCAATGACATCAGTACTGTCCTGGAAGCTGTTATGGAGTGAATACTCTTAGGCTGTGATAACAGAGAGACCTGGAAGCTAGCTGCTTTGCTCTCTGTTACACAGACTGTGCACACGGACCATGATGGGGAGCATGCTCAGAAGACAGTACCAGAATTTCATTGGATGTGCCACTATCATAGAGAACTAATTGAGAGAATGAAGGTTGTATTATTTGGAGAACAGAGGACTCATTAGGGTAAGTGGCAGAGGGGGCAGGGCTTTTTTAAATGTTGGAAGGACCACCACATGAAAAAGATCAGATTTCACTTTCTAAGCCTTTAAGACAAGCGTGTCAAACTCACGGCCATGGGCCACCATGCAGCCCACAATAAATATTTTTACGGCCCAACCAATATAACAGCACGTAAGAAACATTTTAATGAAAATTTTGTAACTTAATTTTTACAATCTACTGTTATACATAATTATAACTACAATGTTTGCTAACGACTGATTACTACAATTGTGTTGAATTCATTTCCCTTATGTGCAGGCATACCATTTCTCTCCACTAATACTACCAGTGAATATTTTAGCAGTAGATTGCCATGTCATTAGTCTTGTACTGACTTGTTTAGTGTGCACAATAGGAAGTATTTTGCTTTTAGAGAACAAGGAAAAGAGGTTTATTTGCCTTACACTTATTAATTTGTGCAGTTATTCAGTGTTTGGTAAGTTAATGTTTAAGAAAAAAATATTAATTTCTATTAAAATGTTATATTATTTTATGTTTATTTATTTCAGCCCTTCTATTCAGCGTGTTTCTATCAAAATAAACTTACGTTTCTATGAAAATTGAATCTTTGGTTTTTTTGTGGCCCACAGAAACTTAAACCTTATTTATTTGGCCCATGTTAGCCTTTGAGTTTGACATGCTTGCTCTAAGAGAATAGGACTAGTGAATCAAATCAACAAAGTGACATACTCCAACCCCATGTAAGGAGCTGTTCACATAGAAAATAGGTTCCCTTGTGATGCTGTTAAGATCCTTACCACTGGTGGTGATGCCTAACGGGCAAGGTAAGGATGATGAGTGGAGGAATCCCTTATCACATGGGCCATTCGCTCAGTCAGTCCCCAGGATTCTATACCTGAGAATACTGGGGCCTCTTCCAGCTCACAGGGACGAGGACGTTCGAGTTGGAGCCTGATGAGGTGGAGGATGTGCTCCGGGTGACAGCCACAGTCCTGGGCTTCCCATCTCGGCCAGAAGAGTTCTGCAGTTCATCATATCGCCTCCCGATGATTGGCGTCTTAGAAAGAACACAAAGCACATGTTCTTCTATCTCATTAACACTTCTTTGGTATATGGAATTGCTCTACCCTGTAGCAACCAAGAACTGCTTATTTGATGAAAAATTAGAGAAGTTCAATGTTACATTAGGCTCATTTTTCTAATGTTTAAATACATATTCTGAGTCATTTTGCATCTTCAATATTTTCCCACTCTCTTTAGCAGCTGAAAACAAATCCAATTGCTTGTTCTTTAGAAACCACTGATAAAGGAAAACATTCAGGAAAACAAAGTCAGTTGTCAGATGTTTAAGTTTGAAAGAATTTCTTGTAGTCATAACGAGACCAAAAATCCTGCTCTAGCTGGTTTGCTAAGTGGGTAGAGTGTTGATCACTGGAGGGCCTTGGGTTCAATTTCGGTCAAGGGCATGTACCTCACTTGGTTGCTGGCTCAATTTCTGCCTGAGTCAGGGCACATGAGGAAGTCAACCAACCAATGTGTCTCTCTCACATCAATGTTTCTCTCTCTCCATCTTTCCCTCTTCCTCCCACTTTTTCTGAAAATCAATTGGGGAAAAAAAATACCCTTAGGTGAGAATTAACAAGAAAAGACCAGCCGAGACCGGTTTGGCTCAGTGGATAGAGCATTGGCTTGGGGACTGAAGGGTCCTGGGTTCAATTCCGGTCAAGGGCATGTACCTTGGTTGCGGGCACATTCCCAGTAGGGGGTGTGCAAGAGGCAGCTGATCGATGATTCTCTCTCATCGATGTTTCTAACTCTCTATCCCTCTCTCTTCCTCTTTGTATAAAATCAATAATATATATATATATGATCAAAAGTCCTTCCCTTCTTCCCAACCTTTATATAATATACTAGATTATTTAAACATTTATTTAAGTTATTTATATCTTCTCAATTATGTAAATGACTGAGGTCAGGGACAGGTACTTGAGCACCACTTTAGAAATTTCATTTCCTGAGAGTCGGAGTGCAGTGGCAGCATGTTCCAAGCTTTAGTACCAAGGAGGTGTCCTGCACAGAGACCAGTTCATGGTCTACACGTGGGGGCAGCGGAAGCAACAGGTGATTCCAGACCAAGGCCCATCTTTTTGGAATAGCTGGGTCTCCTGGGTATGCAGCTGACTGGCTGCATGTTTTCTGTACCTCTTTGGAAGAGAATAAGGTAAAGTCAAAGGGTAAAAATAGCTTTTCCCTTCTAGCAATGTAAAAAATGCACAGAGCGTAGTTTCAGCTTTAGGGATCTTATGTGTCATGGAGTAAGAGACACAGGAAAGTGAAGTATTCTTACCTTTTAGAGTAAAATGGTTAAGTACAAATCTTCAGAAGGCTCATTCCTGAACTGGAAGGTAAATCTACTATTTTCTGCCCTCTCTTTTCCCCCCAACTCTTTATCTTGGTTCACTAATCCTCCCTTCCCAGCTCCTCCCCCCCATTCCACACACTGCCCACTCCCCAAAGGTAAGAATTAAGATAATTTTGCAGTTTAAAAAGCAATATGGCTTAGGGAAGCAACTATAAAGGCAATTCTGTATTCCTGCATATCTCAGTCATTAGCTGGTCTGGGAACAAGGTCACTGATATAGAGAAAAGACAGGACAGTTGTCAGATAAGGAATGAGTGAGGTTTAAAATGCTGAAGATCACTATTTTTATAGTTATCTTTTTAGAAATCAGTTTTTATATAACCAAGGCTAGCTTCTATTTTTAAAAGCTGTCAATTGAGAGCCCCAGTGAAGATGATGCTCCACATGTTCTTAAAAAACAAGCTAAGTCGGGCTTTAGAAGAAAGTCTCCATTGGAAGCAAACATACAGTTAGTTTCTCTTGCTCAAGGCACCTTACTTGTGATCGCTGTCCTATACATTAATGCTAGAGTTTACAGAAACAGTTAACATACCTCTGAAATGTCAAAGTGAAAGTCCAGAGTTTTCCCTGGTAATTCCTTAGAAGCACTGGTCCACACTCGATGTATTTCTATCTTTGACAGGTCACTGTGCTGGTAGGAAGGCAAAATGAGGCTGGCTGACCGAGAAACCACCAGCTTCAAGATATTCAGAGCTTCTCTCCAGTGAACACTCTGAGAGAAATAAAACATTCAATGGTTAATAGTAATTTCATTTTTAAAAACTGATAACACTAGCTACGGAAATATCTCCTGACCACTCAGAATTTATGGATTTAAAACAGTGCAGGAAATTCATAAAAACACTATTTATATAGAAGAAGACCTACATTTAGAAAACAGGCAAATAAAAAAAAGACCACTTTTCTCCACATTCAAATAAATGCATTTGAAAATAAAGTACCATTTTTGCTCATGTGGTGCCTCTTCAATTTGAAAAACAAAAAGAAGAAAAACAACAACAACAACAAAACAACAACAACACAAAAACCCCCAAACAATTCTGGATGCATTTATGCTATTGACCACTCACTCTCAATTTTCCCACCCCCAGTTTCCAGTATTCCTTAGTCCTTCTCCTATTTCTCACGCCCTTCCCCCACAATTGTATCTGGGCACTTAGTCTCTGCCCTTAATTCTTCTCTTTAACTTCACATCTTCCTCATGACCTAACCCAGGAATCTGGGAGCCAATCTTAACTCCTTTCTGTCCCTCCTTTCTGATAATGTTTCTTCCTCGCCATTCCTGCAGGCACCAGCTCAGCCAAATCTCTCCACCCTCTGCCTGGACTATTTCAATGACCTCTCATCTGGTCTCCCTGCTGGCAGTCTCTACTAATGATTATCAAATCCATCCCAGCTCCTGTGGTCTTTCTAGAACTGTTCAGACCATGCCACTTCTCTGCCTACGCTCGTTCTAGGCCTCCCGCTGGTGGACTCTGAGCAGGGCCCGGCTGTGGTTCTCAACCTTCCTAATGCCGCGACCCTTTAATACAGCACCTTATGTTGTGGTGACCCCCAACCATAAAATTATTTTCGTTGCTACTTCATAACTGTAATTTTGCTAATGTTATGTAGCAATATTTATATTATGATGTAATGTAGAAAAAAACAATATTTACATTATGATTCATAACAGATTCAGACTCCTATCTTCCTGTAAAACTCACTTTGTTTTACCATTTTTGTCTTCTTCACAACCCATAAGCTGACTGAAGTCCTCCCCCTCTCTCCACACACATACATAGAAAAATAAATTTTGAACATACATAAACCAGTTTGATAAAAGCTATTATTATTATTTGCCTAGGCTTTGGAATAAAAGCACATGATATAAAGCATATTTCATTTGCTGTTCAGTTTGCACAAGAAGATCACGTTTTGAGTGTGAAATTAGCTACTGATTTAAGTTATATAGTACCATAGATGGCCCATAGTATGAGGATAGGATATGCATCCCAATAAAGCCATGAAATGGGACAGATGATTAGTAGTAAAATGTTAACTAACCCTCTGTCTTCCATGAGTGCTGTGAAGTGAGAAAGTGTTATCCAATGCCTACCACATCGCACAACTATTATTGGAGCAATGCTACCTGAAAAAATGGAAAAAAAAAAAAAAAAGCTTGGAAATCACTTTTAAGCATTAAATAATATTGGCAAGTAATGAGATTGGTGACTAAAGATAGAAATAAATGTCTAAAATGACACTGAGTGGTTTTGTTAATGACCTTAACCAGGGAAATCCTAGCATTTGCCCTTGAACTCTGAAGCTCATCAAGTATACTCCTCAAGCAAAATAGAGCCTGACTAGATGTGGCAAGAAGGATGTCTATGCTCTAGACTTTGGCCCTTCCACTTGACCCCATGGTGACCCTGCACTGCTCTCCATGGGCTGGTACCCCCAATGTTTAGTCTGTGGTCATATATTTCATATCAACTTCCAGGCTCTAGAAATTTGTTCTGGTCTGCTTTTTCTCTTAATATTTCTTAAAATAATTTTTTTTTGTTCATCAGTTTATGTTCATTATATTCCACAAATGACTGAGATCATGTAATATTTATCTTTCTCTGACTGGCTTATTTCGCTTAGCATGATAATGTTCTCCAGTTCCATCCATGCTGTTGCAAATGGTAAGAATTTCTTCCCTTTTAGCACAGCATAGTATTCCATTGTGTAGATGTACCACAGTTTTTCAATCCACTCATCTGCTGATGGGCACTTAAAAAAAATTAATAAAAAAATTGTTTTTGCTTTCCTTTTATTTTAGTAGTCTTGGGTAAGGCTTTGAAGAATCAATCTATAGGTGTTGAGTGAATATCCTGCTAGGAAAGGTGCCTATACAAGGAAACAGGCACTGGCTTTGGAACCAGGTGGACCTGGGTTCAAATACCAGCTCCACCATATCCAGACTAAGACTTTGGGGCTAGTTTCTTTTTCATTTTTTAAATATTCTTTTTATTTTTTAATCACAGTTTGTATTCAATACCATTCCATACCAGTTTCAGATATACAGCAAAATGACCAGAAAACTATGGTCTCTACAGAGTGGTGTCCCCACTACTTGAAGCACCTTCCTGGCTCCACAGCTAATCATCTTGACACCACTGACTATATTCCACAGGCTGCAAACCACATCTTCGTGGCTATTCTGCAACTGTCACTTTGTACTACTTAATCCCGTCACCTACCCCTGCTAAATCCTTCTCTCCTCTGACTGCTGTTAGTCTATTCTCTGTATCTATGGGTCTGTTTCTATGTTGTTTGTTAGTTTTATTCATTAGATTCCACATATAAGTAAAATCATATGTATTTTTCTGGCTTATTTCACTTAGTATAATACTGTCCAGCTCCATCCATGCTGTTCTAAAAGGTAAGATTTCCTTTTTTTTTTTTTTTTTTTTTTTTTTTTTTTTTTAATGACCAAGTAGTATTCTATTGTGTAAATGTAGCACAGCTTTTTTATTCACTGATGGGCACTTGGGCTGCTTCCAAATCTTGGCTATTATAAATAATGCTCCAATGAACATAAGGGTATGTGTATTTTTTTGAATTAGTGTTTTGGTTTCTTTGAATATATTGCCAGAGTAGAATCTCAGGATCATAGGCAATTCCATTTTTAATGTTTTGAGGAAACTTCAGACTGCTTAACACAGTGGCTGTACTAATCGGCATTCCCTCCATCAGTGCACTGGGATTCCCTTTCTCCACATTTGCAGCAATACTCAATTATTGATTTATTAATGATAGCCATTCTGACAAGTATGAGGTGGTATCTCTTTGTGGTTTTAATTTGCATTTTTCTGATGATTAGTGACATTGAGCATCCTTTCATATGCCTATTGGTCATCTCTATGTCCTCTTTGGAGAAGTGTCTATTCAGGTCTTCTGCCCACTTTTTAATTAAGTTGTTTGTTTTTCTGGTGTTAAATTGTCTGATTTCCTTATAAACTTTGGATTTTAACCCTTTATCAGATGTATCATTAAGGGAATATGTACTCCTATTCAATAGGTTGTCTTTTCATTTTGCTCATGGTTTCCTTTGATTTGAAAACCTTTTTTAGTTTAATGTAGTCTCACTTATTTATTTATTTATGTATTTATTTATTTATTTATTTTGGTTTCCCTTGCCCGAGGCAATATGCCAGAAAAAATATTGCTATGAGAAACATCTGAGATTTTACTGCTTATGTTTTCTCCTAGGAGTTTTATGGTTTTGAGTCTTACATTTAAGTCATTAATCCATTTTGAGTTTATTTGTGTGTATGGTGGAAGAATGTAGTCTTAAAATTTTTTTAAAAGACTATAGACATATTCAAATGTACACAAAACAGAGAGACCAGTAAAATGAACCCCCATGTACATTTAATCATTTTGATTTATTTATCCCAACATTTTCTTTGGTTTATTTGCTGTAGTATTTTCAAGTACATTTATATAAGTTACTTAACCTTAGTTCCCTCAATTTTAATTTGAACCACTGAATTCACTCTTTGCATGTTAAAACACCTGGTCCAGAACCAGGGACATGCAAGTTCTTTCTCCCTTTCTCCTTGGCTCTGCCCTTCCAGACAGGTGTGTGCTTTTAATATCCAACCCATAAAACCTAAGAGGCATAAGTGTGTCCTTTGAAGAAACTAATCAGGGCTTGGTCCTGTCTATCTTCTCAGTGTGCCAATTATGGTGTGGTCATCTATCACTCTTTACTGTCTCAGTGTATGGGTGGCAAGTGCAAGCTACATGCAAGTCCTCAGTTCTGTAATGACTCCCTGGTTCATAGTGTAGTTATTTAAATACTCACTTGCACATATTTCTCAATGGTCTTCAGAACTTCCACGTTAAACTGCTTTACAGGAACAACTGAAAGGTCCATGTAGCTGAGCAGGCTGTAGATGACCTGGAGAAGGGGCTGCTGCATGCTTGGGAGGCCTTTCTCCAGCAACTATGGGAGGCAAGGCACAGCCTCAGTTGGTTTGTCGCCAGATTTTCACACAGAAGCACCAACCTTTCCCAATTCTTTTATGATTGCACATTTCCACAAGAGGAAAAAATCCTAACTACTGAAGAAATTAAGATATTATCAAAAGTCATATAGACAGATCCGAATATCTATATATATAAAAGCCTAAGTGACTGTCTGACTATTCAACTGTTCACCTGGTAGCTATGATGTGCAATGACCACCAGGGGGCAGATGCTCAAACCAGTAGAAGAGGGAGCTCAATTCCTCATGGAATCAGCCATGGGTTAGGTTGCTGCTGGGTCACTGTCAGCCCTGAGTCTGCTTCACCCACACCCCAGACCCAGAGAGGAGGGAGGAGGGAGGCCAATTCCTCACTGAATCGGCATGGGTTAGGTTGCTGCTGGGGCACTTTTGGCCCTGAATCTGCTTACCCACACTCTAGACCCAGAAGAAATTATCCAAATATGATCTGATAAAAAGTCTACATAAAAGGACCACTTGTAATAGAAAAAAAAAAATGAACACAAGCAACAAAAGGAGATGGGTTAAGCAAATTATATTACATTAACCTGATAGAATTCCACAGTTTTTCAGAGTGACACCAGGTGATCTATGTCAGCACATAGACATACACACAGAGTTAATGCTCATTGACCAGAGCAAGTTCAATGGAACTGACCACAACTACATAAAGTTATATGTATGTACATGAACATGTGAGTAATAGAAATTATTATGTTATAAATGGTGGGGTGCTAAATTCATAATAAAAATGTTGGTGACAATTTGTGATAAGGGCTGAAAAAATTAGGCAATCCATTTTTACTTATTAAAATCCTCACCTGTGGATATGGTTTTCATTGATTTTAGGAGGAAGGGAGCGAAAGAAAGAGAAACATTGATGTGAGAGAGAAACATTGATTGATTACTTTCCATATGTACTCTGGCTTGGTACCAAACCCGCTACCTAGGCATGTGCCCTGATAGGGAATCAAATCAGTAATCCTCCAGTGCATGGGATAACACTGAGGTACACTGGTCAGGGCTACTTATTTTTTATTGTAATAAAAATATATATAACACCATTTTAACTATTTTTAAGTGCACAATTTAGTGGCATTAGTACATTCACTTTGTTGTGCAGCCATCACCACAATTTATTCCCAAAATTTGTTCACCATCCCAAATTGAAACTATAAAACAGTAACTCTTCATCAATTCCTGGCTCCAACTTCTGGTAACCACTATTCTACTTTCTGTCTCTATAAATTTGCCTTTTCTATGTACTTCATATAAGTGGAATTATTTAATATTTGTCCTTTTGTGCCTGGCTTATTTAACTGACTATAATGGTTTCAAGGTTCATTTATGCTGTAGCAGGTGTCAGTATTTCATTCATTTTAAAATCTTAATATTCTTTTGTATGGATCTATCACATCTATTTTATATTTTTAAAACTTTTATGTCTAACAATCTAAACAAGTTTGCCTCCTTTCTACTTCACATGTCACCTTTGTAAAGATAGGCACCACCTGCCTTTGTAAGCAGAGCATTTGCATGGGCTATCCTGTACTCCTGCAATCTGAGGAGTGCATGTGCTAGTTTAGTAACTCTTGTGGGGTCAGATGTGACCAAGCTGATAATCAGAAGCAGCCAGGTGGCACTTATGAGTGCCAGGGATGGGAGGAAATCAGGGTTGTTGACAGCTGAGTACAGATTACATATTTTGGACACATATCACAAATCAAAATTCTGCAGGACTAACAATAAATGATGGAGCAATTACCCTCTTCTAGGCAGAGGCCTTCAGTCCTATGGAGTCTTTCAGAAAGTGATTGATTCTTTAACCTATCTGGACTCTGAGTGGGTGACATAACTAAAATTAGAATGGGTGTCCTCACCACTTCTGACAAGACCCTGCCAGAAGTACAAATGCATGTTCCCAAATGAAAAGCAATACTGAAAATGCTAAACAAGGAGCTGCTCTCAGTCATTTCCTCACAGAATTCCTGACCTTGTGCACTGGAGATGCTAAATCGAATACATGTCATCCCTTGTCCCCTATACTGTGTATTCTTAGCACCAATGTACACCAAAGTCAGAGTAGAAATATATTTGTAAGAGGACAAAAATCCCATTCCATTTTTAAAAGCAAACATAAGAGGTGAAGATAAAAAAGTTTATTTTAAAATGCTTTGTGAACTAGTTCAGAGGAAACACCATTAAACATATCAAACCACATTCTGACTTCTTAAATAAGATTGATCACTGAAAGTAATTAGGATAAAGTTTTCTTGTTGTCATGTGCTGACAGATGTTAGTGCAATAAGATGAATTTAAGCTGGGGGGCATCTATATTCTTTATTATAATAAGTAGTGCCCAGTACATGGATTTGTGCTCATTGAAGGGAAATTAATTAGAAGGTGGCTGGTGGGGTGGAACTGGGTGAGATGGGCCAAACCTCTTGAGGTCCCTCCCTGGTCATCCATGGGGTGGTGCTGCAGCTTGAAGGGCATCTGTGGAGTGAGCAGGGTCCCTCAGCCTGGCCTGCAGAGATTGGGCCTAAATCAGCTCTCTGATACCCCATGAGGGGTCCCGGATTGTGAGAGGGGAGTTCTTGGGTGACACATCCTGGAATTGGGCTCCCTCCTCTCTGGTTCTGGGGTGCGTCACCCGAGAACCACTGCTGCCAAGTCACCACAGCTTGGCAGCTCCTGTGTTGAGCGTCTGCCCTCTGGTGGTCAGTGCGCATCATAGCTATTGGTTGGATAGTTGGAAGGTCGCTTAGCCATATATATATATATATATATATATATATATATATATCACTAGTTGTTGTAAGAATTTAAAATAATTACAACATAGAAGGAATAAATGAAGTCTTATTATCAGTTTCATATAAATATTTTATCCAGGGAAACTATAAATTTTATCCTTAATTGAAGAGCTTACCTCTGCCAGGTAGGTAACCATGTTCAAGGTGATGTCAGCATATGCTTCATGAAGGTACCGGCAGACCACGCTGACCCAGGTGGCAGAGTCCCTCGTGTAGCTGTGTGTTTTATAAAGAGTCATGACATGTGCAAGATTGGAAAGTTTGGGATTCTTCTCTTCCAAACAAACCTTAAGAAGAGGAAAATCAATCAGGGATAGAATGGCCTGATGAATAGGAAGAAATGTCAGCAATTTCAGTATCAGTCCCAGCAGTCAGGAAAATACACACACACACACACACACACACACACACACATTTTTTTTATAGTCTGTGGAAGTGCTTATCTTAGTAATATAATATTTTCAAATTCTTTCTACCTGCTTTTTCAATAATGGGATCAAAAGAAAGTATGTATCAGCCACCCAGGAAGTTAATGATGAGCACTATCAGTTATTATTTTCAGGTTTTATGAAACTCATTGCCATGTCCAAGCCTGGTACTTTCTGTCCAATAGTGGGCCTTCTGGGAGGTCTGAATGGGTGTCTGAGCAGAAATGTAAGCCATACCTGAGCAATCCTGTCGGCTATATCCTTACAGAACTGATTTGGGTTTTCAAAGTGCTGAATCAGCTGGGGCAGGAGACACAGGACATTCAAAGGAAACCCTGGGTTAGAGAGGATATAATGGAGATGGATGAATATGGTGCATTTTCGCTATTAACAGTGGAAAAGCATATTACAGATTTTATTTTGAGGCCATGCAAATAAAGTCTTTTGAAGCAGCTTTAATGTGATCTAGCAAAATCCACAAAAAATGTACAACCAAAAATTTAAGAAGAAGAATAAAATGAATGGAAACCCTGGTTTGAAATTTTATCAGAAAACATAGTTTAGGGGAAACTTGTATAAGAGGACCTAGGCGAATCATTTAAGTTTCATTCATGTAATAAAAAAGGCTCTTTAAAATGAAGAGGATTCGCTTAGTACCACCGTGATAATCTCTAGCTCCATGAAATAAATCCTGGGCCACATTCCATACTATTAAAAATCCAGTCTGGCCGAAACTGGTTTGGCTCAGTGGTAGAGCGTTGGTCTGCAGACTGAAGTGTCCCGGGTTCGATTCCGGTCAAGGGCATGTACGTTGATTGCGGGCACATCCCCAGTAGGGGGTGTGCAAGAGGCAGCTGGTCGATGTTTCTCTCTCATTGACGTTTCTAGCTCTCTCTCTCTCTCCCTTCCTCTCTGTAAAAAATCAATAAAATATATTTAAAAAAAAAATCCAGTCTGTTGCAATGGCCATTGTGGCTTGTTGGTTGAGCATCATCCCATGCACAGAAAGGTTGCCTGTTCGATTCCCAGGCGGAGCACAAGCTTGAGTTGCAGGCTCTATCCCCAGTAGGGGTGTGCAGGAGGCAGCTGATCAATGTTTTTTATTTTCTCTCTTTCTCCCTTCATCTTTCTCTAAAATCAATAAAAACATTTAAAATTTTAATTTGTTGATTTGGCTTAATTCAAGAAAGTTATCAAGAGGAAAAGAAAATCTAAGAAAAAGAAAAGATTTAGGAGTTTAAAAAAAGGGAAATAATATCTGTACAAGAGCAATGGAATAAACGATAGTATCTGCAGTTTGATGTAGAAATAATAAAGAAATTTCCAAAAGCAAATATATATTTCTTCTGCCCCCTTTTATATTATTGCCTTAAAAATACCTTCTAAAATATAAATAGTTATGACTTACATTATATAAAAATTTAAAAGATAAAACAAACTATTCCCAACAAACCATTTCTAAGAAGAGCTGTAAGCCCATGATTTCTTATTAGCTAGACATGGATCTATACCAAACTTGTAAGATAGGGAATGCATTTCCTTTACCGATGGCTTGGGATGAGTCCACCATGGATATTCTGGACACTGGTGTCAGCAAACTGAAAAGCTGCTGGGTCAGGTCTATGGTAGTGATGGAGGTGAACCCTTTCAGCAGCAGCTGCTGTAACCCTGAGAAGTCTGACCACTTGAGCTGTGCATGGAGTTTCTCAAGTTTTTCTCGATTCTCAGCTTTATCGAGTGGCATGTGAGCCAGAAGTCTGTTCAACAGCCTTAAGGCCATGAGGTATTCAAACTCAAAATCAGATTCCATCAAGGCCACTGTGACCCAAAAGATGGTGGCCAACAGGTTGGTTGGATGGTTTATGTGTGATGGGTCTGTGAGGCTGTCCTTCATGGAGGATGAGCTTCTGGTTTTAGAGGAGAGACCTTGCTGGGTACAAGCCTGAATTCTGTCCAGTGTGGCACTGCGAGGTGGGTCTGAGGATCGGTCGATAACACCAAATTTCTTGGGTACAGAGAAGCTTCTCTGATGCCGGCTCCGTTCTGCAGTTGCTGTGCTGCCACTACCTGTTCCAGAGTTCACATTTAGTTGTCCTGTGCTCTTTCTGCTTGCTGTAAGTTTACTGCTAGAGCTTAAATCTGGTGATGAAGAACTGGGTATAAAAATAAAAATGTTCACACTAGATCAGATGGACCTAATAAAAATTTATAGATCCTTTAACCCCAAAACAACAGAATATACATTCTTCTCAAGTATACATGGAACATTCTCAAAGATAGACCACACATTAGGACAAAAAACAAGTCTATACAAGTTCAAGAAGATTGATATAATATGAAGCTTTTTCTCAGATCACAATAGCATGAAGTTAGAGATAAACTACAATAAAAAACTCAAAAAAACATTTGGAGGCTGAAGAGCATGTTATTAAATAATAGATGGTTTATGAGAGACAAAATGAGAAATTAAAAACTTCTTGGAAACAAATAAAAATGAACACACAATAAACCCTACAGGATACACAACAGCAGTTCTGAGAGGGTAGTTCATAGCACTATAGGTCAACTCAAGAAACAAGAAAAAGAACCAGTAAACTACCTAACCCTACAACTAAATGAAAGAGAACAGTAAGAAAAACTCAGAGAAAGTAGAAGGAAGAATATAATAAAGAACAGAGTGGAAATAAACACAGAGACTAAAAAAAAACAACAGTATAAAAGATCAATAAATTCAAGAGCTGGTCTTTGAAAAGATAAACAAGATTGATGATTGATGAACTTTTTTGTACTTAAAATTTATGAAAAATGATTTCAAAGCTTATTTCAGGCTGAAAATGTAAAACTATCAACATCTTGGTAAATTTTACTGATTTATATGAAGCTGTATTAACATATGTATTATATTAGTAATCACATTAGGTTTACCTATCCATAAAAAATGCTCTACTTAACAATGAAACAAGGCCTAATGAGATATAAAGTTATTGACCCAGTTTCAAAGCACAAGGGGAACTCAATGATACGAGCAGAATATGGAATTGTGAATGATCTGAAACTGGTTATTAAACTCTTTCAGGAACAAAGGAATTAAAAAAGAAAGATCCTAAGGTAGAAATTCTGCAAGTAAAATCAACTGTTTTTATAGTAATGGTTCAGATGAAGTTTTGTGCATATTCATTTAAAATAACATTTAGTTTTAGTTTCTATTCACAATGCAATAGGAAATATTATATAAAATTTGAAAAAACACTAAAAGACATAAAAGAAAGTGAAAAATCATTATTTGTATTATTTATCAGAGATAGCATTTGCTATCTATCTTCCTGGTGTTTTAAAATCCTTTTATAATTTGTGTGTGTGTGTGTGTGTGTGTGTGTGTGAGAGAGAGAGAGAGAGAGAGAGAGAGAGAGAGAGAGAGAGAGAGAGAGAGAAGAGAGAGAGATACCTGTCCCTCCCCCCCCCCTTTTTTTTTTTTAACTTAAGAAAATGTCATACATACTCTTTCAGGTCATCAATAGATTTCAAAAACTAGATTTATTTTTTGGACTTTGCCCAAAGTCTGGGCATCTCCCAAATATTTAGTACAGTATATTTGATTTCAAATGCCATTAAGCTGGTTCTCACCGAGATAATACAGTTAAGAGATCACTGTTCTTCAAGCAGTCAGACAAGTTATCCACGGCAGCTTCCAAAGTCAGGAGTGCTTCCATTACGTAACCCTGCCAAACACAGAGACAACATTTTGGACAGCTTGTAGCTGCTGTTAACTTTTTGTACATAAGTTTAATGAATGCAAACTTTATTAAAGTAATTTTAATATCATTAAAAGCTAGAAAGTTATTATTACTTTAATTTACAAAGTTTAAAACAAATTTTAAGGGCCACTGAGGAATTTAGCTTGCTCAGGAGTCAGAAGATAATTATAAAGATTTATTTTCCTAGGTCTGAGCTCCTCCACAGAGCAATCTCATTTGAAATCTAACAGGGAGGGGACAAGGCTGAAGATATCAGACACATGGTAGGCCTTTGAAATATAGAGTTGCAATGTCTGAAGGCAGAGATTAAGAGATGTATGCAATGGCTGTGCCTTAATGGCATTTTAAACAGCCCTTCTCATGGCCAGGAGGAGGAAAATAAGCTAGGGTCTATAGGCATGCAGGCCTCAATAGATGCAGGCAAGTTTCTGATGGAAAAGAAGGCTTGGTCCAAGTTACAGAGCAGGTAATGCTCTTGGCTTCAACCTGCCCAGGCCCCCATCTCTGGGCTCTACCTAGACGGTCTTCTTGTGGCATCTACTCCCTCCCTTACTTCTTCAGCTCTCCCAGTTTCCTGAAGGATGATCAAACAGAGAAATGTAGTACTTTACACAGGTACAACGGAGATCTCCTCCAGTGGGGGGATTGCACAACTATGTCCTTTGCTTGTGAAAAAATGACAAAACAACACCTAATTTTCCTGTCCTCTACCAAAAACAAACAAACAAACAAACAAAAAAACCAAAAAACCAAACAAAACAAAAACCCAACAACAAAACAACAAAGAAGAGCCACCAAAGAATGTTCAGATGTTAGTTTAAATAAACAGATGATATATGTGGAGTTTCTAGTACAATACTTCTGGGAATGACTTTTGTAAATATAAAAGCCAACCTCTAAAATTTGAATTGTACATGTCCACAGGGCTGGAATAATTGGCAAGAGAGTCAAGGTTTTTGAGAAAGTCGTTAGTTCCTTCTCTTTAAAATGAGAGAAACAGGACGTATTTGGTGTTCTTTCCTTCCCTACCTGAATCTCATCGCCATGTTCTCCAATCACCTCCACCAGTCTGGAGAGAAGGTCAGACAAGGCATGCGCTGACAGAGGTTGTTTGATTGCCCGGAATATCTGGAAGGACCGACAGGCATAGTGCCTTGAAGAACTTGCCAGGGCTGTCTGCAATGCAACCTCACTCAAGTGTTGCTCCAGACGGAAACCTAGGGCACCAAGAGGCCAGAGACCAGATCAGCTGTCATTCTGCAAAGTCTGGGGCAACAGTAGTTATCTGAAGGTTTGAAACAGGTTCACTGTACAGAACTATGTCCTGGTGGTACTTATTTAAAAACTAACAATTAAAAAAACCCTAAATTTTAATAAATCTTAAGGGGTATAGTGTAGTAGGAAAAGATGGTTCTGATTTTGAACTAGAAGTTTTCAGTCTCAGAAACTTATTCTCTATTGACTATTTCCTTATCTTTAACTTATGAATAAAAGCATCTATCTCATAGAAGTTTTGTGGAAATTAAACAACTTTAAATAAAAGTGCTTAGTACAGTGTGGGACACATACGTGTTCACAAGTGTATTGCTATTGATCACCCTGCTATTTTTCCACATTATTGTACTGTACTATTATACTTTTTACATGAAACATTTTCACTCCTTTTTTTCAATAACACAATTTGTTAGAAATAAATGTTCTGAGTACTTATGTATTTAGAGGAAGCTATTAGTGAATCTAGTCAAGTCTGAATATAACTGAGGCCTGGACCCAAGTCTTTGCTCCTCAGCACGGTCTGTAAGTACTCAGATATAGAAATGAGGCAGTGCAGTAAAGGCAGCCAAAGTAGACCTCCACCAGAATATGTGTTCTTTCAATAACATGGAGGGAATCTTAGTCATCAGAAAACCATTTGACCAGTTGAAAATTAAAATGTGAGGGAAAGTTAACAATTAATGCCTGGGCTATTACCTTGTACAAGGACCCTGCCTCTCTGCAAGAGTTAGAGCACATGATATAAACAGTGATTTTAGCTGTTTCCATGACCTGGAGAGCTCTGTGGCACGTTTGATGGTGACGTGGAAGTGGGACAGGAGGGATTATTCATTGTTATCCTTCTTAGTTTTGCTTGGCTGCTTGACCCCAGGGGCATGTTGACAATATAAAAAAATGTTCCTGCAAAGTGAACGAGGGGCCCTGGGAAATGGACTCAAGGAAATCCAGGGTTAGAAATGCAGAGTTAAACCCAGAAACATGTCACAACTTATGAATGGGTCATGTTTCAAAACTGTTCTTTATGTCTTTATTTTGTTTTTCAAAACATGTTTGTTTGTGTGTTGTTGTTTTTAATTAAAACCATTTTTATAGAGAGGCTAGCTCCCTGGCAGTGGAACAGAATCTTATTTAAATTATCATGAGCTAAAGACTAAACAAAAGTCCTTTCCAGGAGGACTGCAGACTCCACTACGCATATGACAATGGCTTTTAAGAAAACCTATTTAGTGTGTGGCATCTCCCTGGTACACATGAATCTACACCTTCCAGCCTTCCTTGCAGTTAGGTGTGACCTTGTACCTGAGTTCTAGCCAGTGGAATGTGGGAAGAAGCACTTGACAGGGATGTGAACTTCTCTGCTTAATCCCTCACTCTCTCTTCCTCCTCCAGGTAGCAGAGCCACATGACGGAGAGTCTCTGACCACCAGGTGGAAGGCCTCCTGTCCAACATCCACACTGAATTGTTGTGATCCAGAAATAACCACTTATGTTAAGTGTTTGAGCTCTGGGACGTGTTTGCTTCAGCAGCTATGCTACCCTGACTAATACATTTCCAAGAATACATTTTATTGTGCTATAGCAGAAATAGGCAGAGAGCAGCAATGTAGAAGGAAATTTTAGTGGGTAAGAATATATTGGGTAAGGTGTGAAAATACACCTGCCAAGAATACAGTGCAAGGCATTCATATGTCTTCTCATTTTTATCAAGGTCATACAGTTAAGGGTTTTAGACAAATAAATAGTTCACATATAGCAGTAAATTTCGTGCTATGTGCAATTTAAAGTAACGTTTAAATGGGGAAAATACCAATAGAAGAGGTCTTCATATTTCAAAGAAATTCCCAAGGGGAAACTCAAGACTGGAAGTCTAGGTCATCCTATTCCTGTAATGATTCTCTGTCATTATTATTATTTTTGCTTTTAAAAACAACTATCCACTGATAACAAAAAGAGATGTGGCTAATCTAGAATGTTTCAAATTGTGACACGTGTTAATTATCAGAGCAGCTAAGAAGCCAGTAAGCCATAGTTAGTGTGTTCAGCCAGGTACATGACAAAGGTAGGAACAGTCATTGCATTGAGCTGAAAGACCCCATTTAAATTTCACACACAGATCAGCCCCAGCCAACTTGAATTCAAGTGGAATTTAGCTAATAGCTTCAATATGATGCTTTTATAGTCTAACTAAAAATCACACTGGATTTAGAATATTCAATAGAATTGTTAGCAACTATTTTTAAAAAAATATATATTTTATTGATTTTGTACAGAGAGGAAGGGAGAGAGATAGAGAGTTAGAAACATCGATGAGAGAGAGTCATCGATCAGCTGCCTCCTGCACACCCCCCACTGGGGATATGCCCGCAACCAAGGCACATGCCCCTGACCGGAATCGAACCCGGGACCCTTCAGTCCCCAAGCCGATACTCTATCCATTGAGCCAAACCGGTCCCGGCTGTTAGCAACTATTTTTAAAGTATAAAACATTTTATCACAAAATTCTTTTTTAAAAAACCAGTTTGAAGGCTGACTACTTCTCATAGTTGAGTCTATGCCAAATCAATAAGAATTAGTTCTCATGGATTTCTTTAAATAAAATTAATATTGTGGACATAGTTAATTCTAGTGAGGGAATGAAGTGAGGAGAACGTTGACTTTGGGGATGTTATTTGATAGAGTATAATGCAAATATACATGACAGTATCAGTCAGACACATCTGAAATAAATTTCAAAACTCTTCTATGAATAGTCTTCTGCTATAGGTGCCAAAAGTTAGAAATATATACAATATATATCATTGATGTCATATATCATATATATATAGTGCGATATACGTATATAGTATAAATTCTGACTTATACTATAGATGATCTATAGTGTAGTCATATAGGTGAAGAATGAGCTCAATTATAAAAAAGTCCTGAAAGTGGAAGGGTTTTGGGGAAACAGGATGAAGTACCTGATTTAGAATCTTTAAATACGGACAAAATGTGCCGTAGAAAATTTGTGAGTTGTTCGGCACTCTTTGAATTTTGATTTCTGGGCGTGATGTCTTCATGGCACCAAAGTGGACCAAATGCCCTGGAACAAAACACAGTGTCAAAAACACAGCGGTCACTTTGCACTTTGAAAACCATCTACGCAGTTCTAATTCCAAAGGCACAATATATATATTTAAAGTTTCACTAATTTGGGGGAAAATTTCAGTCTTATAAGGTTTATGAACATACCCAAACAGATCTGGCTAATTTATAGACACACTTTTTAAAAAAAATTTTATTCACAAAACCAAAACCTCACAACATTTAATCACGAAACAAAAACCTTTCAATTCACCAGAACAGTGTTTGTCATATGATAGATGTTCCATAGATGCATGTTAAATAAAACAACATATACAGTTGTAAATAAAATGTAGATGTAGACACAGACTCAATTTGCACATTCAGTATTTGGGAAGATAATGCTTTTATCAGGATCACATCAGTAGGTTGCCGAATACTGTGGAACCTGCCATGACCTGACAGCAAGTTTCAGGAGCTGAAGGAGGGACCAACACACAAATGAAAATGCTAGACAAAAATATGAATTATTAAGGTGCGGGGCTAGGTGGAGCCTCTCTCTTGAAGAGATACACCGTGTCCTGGCCTTGTCAGCTTTTTATTCATTTTAGATACACATCTTGCCCTCAGTAAAGCATGGCAGACAAGTAGCAGACAGACAGTCTCAAAGGACAGTAAAGATCAGTAAGGCCCAGTAAACATTTACTTGGAGGCTATCAGGTCAGGAGATTGCTTTGAACCACCACTATTGCAACACAAATAATCAGTGCCTAGCGTAAGCCCCTGATACTCAAGATCCATCTGCCTGCCTCCTGCGTTCCTTGGTGCATGCTCATGACAGTGTTGACAAGTGGTGGTTTCCTGCATTACCACATTGAAGATACGGCCTCTGTTGTTTACTTGTTTTTCGGTAGTAAGAATAGGATGGAGCCAGATGTGAGAATTTTGGAGAAAACCCTTCCCAACACATGGCATTGACAATGGTGAGAGATGACAACAAAGTATTCAGGTGTCTGAAGTACCTTGTGTGTGGGCACCATCAGTTTCTTCCTGTTTCCTGAACATTAAATCCCACATGGAGCTGATAGCTAGCTATGCAGAATGCCCTGAACTATTAACAAAGGAAAAAAATGCTCTATTTTTCACCATTTAGTGCATTAGTTAAAGAAAAGAAAAAAAAAAAGGGAAATATCAGATAACACAAATTGAGACTAGACTCCCAACACAACAGCACACCAGTTCACATGTGAGCATGCTTTTATACAAATGTAGGACCTTGGGGTAGTAGAAATTCTGAAATGAAATTGTTCATTAGAAGAACCAGAAGACCTAAAAATTGGGATTATCCACTTTTTCTTGATTTTGATATATTATTTGTTTGGTTCATTTCCTATCAGGCTTCCTACTGTTTCTGATTTCTGACTTCCATTTATAAACTCTTTGGACTAGATGAGCAGATTCTGGGTCCCTTGGCAGCTGCTCCTGGGTCCACTGTGGCTGATATCTTTGGCTTCCAGAGCGAGGTTATTTGCCAAGTTTCAGGGCTCCCAGATCCTGGCAGCTCTAATAGATGAACAAAACAATGCTCACCGAGGGGCGCTACCATCTGAGTGGTTTTGAAAGATGGAATTTTCTGAAAAAACTCACCTGAAAATAGCTGCTTGTCTCCTTGCCCTCCTTACCTGGTTGTCAGGAACTCAATGAGCTTGTTGGCCTTCTCATCTGTTTCAGCAGTGGTGTCTACGTCTTCTACCTCTTGGGACATCTGTGGGAGGTTCCCACTGCTGCCTCCCAGACTGATGCTGGAAGAGGTGGAACTGGAGCTCAGCCCCGAGTCTGGCACTGGTGATGACTGGTCCTCCCTCAGAAAGTCAAAGCCACCTGGTTGAGAAGAAGGTCAAGGGGGGTGCGCTGGGCAGGGCACATAACGAGGTCAGGAGGTGAGCATACAGAAGTATGCAGTTATCTCATTTTTTTTTTCATAAAACATTTTATTTTGGCTATAGTTATGATTAAAAAGAGACATATATTCTTTCCTTATGGAATGGTTACACTCTGTATAATCAGAGTGATTTAGTAATAGGAGAATAGAAAATTACTATTTAATAAATATATTTCTACTTTAAGGTTTTAATTCATGCTTTCTGAAAAAGAAGTTGTGTGTTTGGGTTCCACTCTACATCTGTACCTAACTGCTGTTAATAAGTTATGCCTAGATACTAGACTGATACAATGATATAATTTTTGAGGATATCAGTTATATAAGGGATGATGAGTAAGTTTTACATCTTGTTTTTGAGTAAATGTGCCTGGAACCACAAATATTTTGTGTATGTTAATTGTTTTAACAAAGTATATATCATGTTTGTCAAAGCCATATGGTATAAAAAAATACTAGTGATTTTTTCCACTTTGTATTTGGATAACATTCTACATCTCTAGATGTGTTATGGGTTTGAAAAATTATAAACATTTCCATCTACTTAAAAAAATAATAAAAAGTTCATAGTTCTGATGTGTCTGACTTTTGTTTTGCCTGGGTTTTGAATTAGGAGTGAGGAGCCTGGGTCTGAATATCATCTCTACCATTTACTGTAAAATCTCAGGAAGTTGGTATGATTTCTCTGTACCTCAGTTTTATATTATGATAAGATAAAGACAATTTCTATCACAAATTCTTAGTGTGGATTTGAAAGTAGCTACAATTGAAACAAGGTTTTCAATAAATATTTATGTAAAGGAGACTATTCCTAAATCTATTGTGCACTTACCTAATTCAAGTATAGATACAATCATTCCAGTTATTGTTTGTCTTGCCCATGGATTCTGTGTTTTGCTTTGTAAATCTCCACTCTCAATCACTTATGCTGCATCAGTGGGATAGTGAATATAAAGCTGCCACACTCAGAGAGATACAACTTAACAGACATTACAGTCTTCTCAGCCTAAAATTATGTGCTTAATGGAAAATATCTTTATCCTGGGGAGTTAGAACAGCCAGAATGTTTCATATTTTTTAAATTGAGCATCTAAAGAAAAAAGAATTTTGTGTCTCTGAAAGGCTGCTGAATTATTTCAATCAAGTGTAGTGTGTTCAATATAAAGACCTTATAATAATAATATGGAAAATATATTTGAAAGTATTTAATGATGATGATGGTCCTTCTACCTCAGTGTTAATGACTTCATATTAGTTTTCTAAAGACATGTTAACATCTCTCATAAGACAAGGCAGTGCTGAATACGTGATGAATGAAAGGTACAATTTCAAGATTATAAAGAAAGTACATGGTAACATTGTATGAAATGCCATACCATGTCCAATGCCAATGTAATATACAAAATAACTAGGTAAAAAAGGTAGCCCGAGAACTCTGTTAGTTCATCATCATTTTAAGATATTTAAAATATTCAAAATAAAAATCATTGGTTAACCCTTTTGGGAAAATTTTCATGAACAGCTGAGTAGAAGAGAGTAATTTTTTTTTTTTGACTCAGCTAATGCTTTCTGTTCTCATTTCTAAGAAGTATTTGGTTTTAAAACAGCAGTGGTTTTTAATAGACTTGCATTCATTCATGCTTTCCAGAAAAGTCAGTCAAGTGACAATTCCTTCAGAGAAACTAGAAGGAATGCAGTAAATATCTGGCACCTTGGCAATGACCTACTTGCAAGGTGATGGAGAAAGTCACTGTTTCCTGTGTTCTCATTTTTCAGGGTTCTAGATAGAAGCTCTTGTTCAATGGACATTTAAATTTTCAATTTATTGATAGAAACATATTTAATGAAAGCAGAAACATACCGTATTTTTCGGACCATAAGACGCACTTTTTCCCCCCCAGAAGTGGGGGGGGGGGAGGGGAGAAGTCCCTGCATCTTATGGTCCAAATATAGCCTACACATATACTTTAAAAAAAAGTTTTTTTACTTGCCCGGCTCTGTGTGGTCTCTATGTGCTTGCCCGGCTCTAAAATGGTTCTAAATGCTGCTGTTTACTTTACAGGGTTGATTACATGTGTTTATGACTGTGATGTTGGGTTTTAATGCACATAAAATATTTTAGGACACTATTTGTTTCAGAATCTTTTTTTCTTCATTTCTCTTCTCTAAAAACTGGTGCGTCTTATGGTCCGAAAAATATGGTAATAAAAATAAGGAAAACATATGAAAATATTCAATAACAAAGAAGGATTTTGAGAGGCAAGTTGACATCCAGTGAAGTGGTGCCTATTTATTGAGCTGTTATTTTGTTACTTGGAAAGGTGGGGGTGAGAGCATTAGAGCATGGAAAAATGGGCCCCACTGACACCTTCGGTAGTCTCTGAATCTATGACTGTGTCTCGGGCTTTCAGTCACACTCCTTTTGTTACCTGTGTAGAGATACTCGGGTTGATAAGCTGGCTGTACTGTTAGAGTTTTAGTTTCCCCCATTTCTCGAGTCTGCAGGAGCACAGAGGCAATGGCATGGAAACTGCTGTTGCAGGACAGTGCTATCAAGAGGTGAAGTAGCAAATTTTTGCTGTGTTCAAAGACTTCAGGCCGGTAATGGTCCAACCCTGGAACAAAATGTGGAATCTTTTAGTAAAAACAATTTTTTATCTCTTTTAGACTCCAGGGATAGTAAATGTTCCCTAACACCTGGGGGAAGGGAAATCTTAAAAAAAAAATGTTTAATTTTCTTTGTTACTATTTCTAGTACTAACATAAAGAATTGGGTTTAGGAAAAATAAAGCATTTTATTCCTTAAATCAAATATTCTCATAAAGTGATGATAGATGGACTTCCCTTAACCTCTTGATATTGTTAGCATTCCTTCTTCTTGAGGCTTTCCATAACTGAACTCCCTGAATGGTTGTTCCTCTTCTCATTTTTGCTCTATAACTTGGGTTACAATCTCAGTATGTGGCCTGCTGCGCTCTATATTCTTTCTCTCTATGCACTAATTATGTCTAATGGCTTTAAATTTATCACATCTAGCCTGGTTGAGCATCGACCTATGAGCCAGGTCAGGGTTTGATTCCTGGTGAGGGCACATGCCTGGGTTGCAGGCTCGATCCCCAGTGAGGGGCATGCAGGAGGCAGTGGATCAATGTTTCTCTCTCATCATTGATGTTTCTATTTATCTATCCCTCTCCCTTCTTCTCTGAAATCAATAAAATATATTTAAAGAATTTTTTACATATAGACAAAGACTCTCAAAGAGGCCCAATTTGTTTTAGATATCTTCATAGGTATAGCACAAGTGAGGTGCCACACAACTTATATTGTAGTCATAGGAACATTTTAAACAATGCCTGGTTAACTGAATTTTAGAGCAGGAAAGCAGATGTCTATGCACAATGAAAACTCTCTGGGTTACCTTCACAGAGTTTAGACATATTGGCTAGAGTTCCTCTTGGATCCAGTCTTACCTAAGAAGACAGCATGAAGTAATAATGGCAAGTGAAGAGCCCAGTCTTCTCTTACACTGTGATCTACCACCATCTCAGTCATAAAAATCACAGCAATATTGCACCTAATCAATGAAATGACAAAGTTAATACAACTTCTATAGAGAATGGAAATACATGTTTAGATCATTAAGTCACAATTAAATGCAACACATAAGCTTTGCTGAAGAACTATGTAAGAACTTTCTCCCAGGGAAGTGAAGTTCTAAAAATGTACAGAGCTCCATAAGAATAAACATCAGTTGAGCTAATTACATAACATACTTGTTACTAGGTAATAATAGCTGAGTCATGATGAGAAAGAGAAGACAAGAGTTCTCTTTTCAACTTGCTTACAATCTAAAATGCTTATAAAATGAAGACCTATATCAAGTAAGTATGACAAGGCAGCTTTACACATTGGTTAACATTTGACCAAACTCTACCAATGTGCTGAGAACTGCAATTCAAGTTATGAATCAGCATCCCTCTGATTTTAAAGTTTATTTTATTTGATAGGACTTGAAACAGGTTTCCCTGTTCTTCTAGGGAAAAAGGTCCAGTCAAAACTAAGTGGTCATTTCTCTCTACCTGTACATGCTGCTCACCTGTGGAGTGGCCCCCGAGGGGTGATGGTTTCTGGGAGGTAGTCAACCAGAGGGGCCCAGCATCCCCCAGTAGAAGGCATTGGTAAGGGCTGCGGCTGCTTGGTCTCTGTGATAGTTAACAGCCATCCAAGGTAGGGAGATATTGGGTCATCTGTAGGGTGAGAAAGACAGTGTGCTTTATCTTTAGGAAGGTAATTTTGTTTTCTCTACTTAGTGTTTCTAGAAAGAATATTACAAATTCATGCTCATAAAAATAATTTTCTAAGCATGTTATTAGGTGAGTGTAAATTATACAATCAAATAAGTTAGAATAACTTGAATAGGTTTCTTTAATCATCATCATATTATTATTAAATATGATGTCACATATATCCTGAGTACAGTTTCCAGAATAGTCTTACATTGAATGTTTATTCTTTTCAATGCATCTTCATAAGGCTATTTGACTTCAAGGAGAGAGTGGGTTGTGTGGGACCAGCTTTGCTGATTTTGAGCTGCTGGTCTTTCATTTAATGGTGTTGATATAAACTTCTAGGCCCAAGATAGAACAGATCTTTCCTAGGGTGCCTTGGCAGCAAACCAAAATTTAGATAACTTTCATGTTCCTGTAAATGCATTGCTTGACCAATAAGCAGCATGCTCATTAAGCCAGTATCTGGACACCATGCCAACTCTGGCTCTATAATGACTTCCTTGTTCTTGATTCTTTTTTTTTTTTTTTTTTTTTTTTTTTAGGTTTTTAATTGATTTTTTTTTTTAATATTTCAAGAAAAAAAACCCGATTTTAAATATAATATTACCAAATGGTACTAACATAGTACAATATCACAAAAGTAACAGGATTGCTTCTATTATATTCTAAAATATTTTTTCCTCTGGCTCTATTCCTCCCCCCAACCCCATAAGTTTATGTTGTTCTTTATATTCCACAAATGGGTGAGATCATGTGGTATTTATCTTTCTCCTTCTGGCTTATTTCACTTAGCATAATGCTCTCCAGGCTCATCCATGCTGTTGCAAATGGTGAGTTCCTTTTTTTTTTTTTTTTTTACAGAAGCAGAGTATTTCATTGTGTAGATGTATAACAGTTTTTAATCCACTCATCTGCTGATGGACACTTAGGCTGCTTCCAAATCTTATTGTAAATGGTGCTGCTATGAACATAGGGTTTCATATATCTTTTGATTGATGTTTCTGATTCCTGGGTACATATTCAAAGAATTAGGATTACTGGGTCAAATGGGAATTCTATTTTTAATTTTTTTTTGAGGAAACTCTATACTGTTCTCCACAGTGGCTGCACCAGTCTGCATTCACACAAGCAGGGCATGAGGGTTCCTTTTTCTCCACATCCTCTCCAGCACTTGTTTATTGATTTGTTGATAATAGCCATCCTGACAGGTGTCAGATGGTATTTCATTGTCATTTTGATTTGCATCTCTTGGATGATTAGTGACTCTGAGCATTTTTTTCATATGTCTCTTGGACTTCTGTATGTCTACTTTCAAAAAGTGTCTATTTGGTTCTTTACCCATTTTTTTTTATTGGATTATCTTCCTTTTGTTAAATTGTATGAGTTCCCTGTAAATTTTGGGTAATAATAGCTGAGGGGTCTAATTTAGATTAGACCCTTATCGGAGATAACATTGGCAAATATATTCTCCCATGCTTTCTTATTGTTTTGTTGATGGTTTCTTTTGCTGTGCAGAAGTTTTTTATTTTGATGTAGTCCTATTTGTTTATTTTCTCTTGAGTTTCCATTGCCCTAGGAGCTGTATTGGTGCCCTATGAGCTGTATTGGTAAAGATACTGCTATTACATATGTCTGCTATTTTGATGCCTATGGGTGCTTCTAAGATTTTTATGGTTTCCCATCTTATGTTTAAGTCCTTTATCCATTCTGAGTTTAATTTTGTATATGGTATAAGTTGGTGGTCTAGTTTCATTTTTTTTTTCATGTTATCTGTCCAATTTTCCCAACACCACTTATTAAAGAGACTGTTTTGATTCCCTTGCATGCTCTTGCCTCCTTTGTCAAATATTAATTGAGCATATTGGCTTAGGTTGATTTCTGGGTTCTCTGTTCTGTTCCATTGGTCTATATGTCTGTTCTTGTGCCAGTACCAGGCCATGCTGAGAACAGTGGCTTTGTAATATAGCTTGGTATCTGGTATTGTGATCCCTCCAACTTTGTTCTTCTTTCTCAGGATTACTGTGGCTATTCAAGGTCTTTTTTTATTTCCATATACATTTTTTTTTGGAGAGTTTGTACTAGGTCTGTGAAATATGCTGTTGGTATCTTAATGGGGATTGCATTGAATCTATAGATTGCTTTGGGTAGTATGGACATTTTAATGATGTTGATTCTACCAATCCATGAACCTAGTATATTCTTTCATTTGTTTATATCTTCCCCTATCTATTTTTTCAATGTCCTGTAGTATTTTTCCAAGTTTAGGTATTTTACTACCTTAGTTAAGTTTATTCCTAGGTATCTTAATTGTTTTTGGTGCAATGGTAAATGAGATTGTTTTTTTTAGTTTCTCTTTCTGTGAGTTCATTATTGGTGTATAGAAATGCCATAGGTTTCTGGGTGTTAATTTTGTATCCTGCTATGTTGCCAAATTCTTTGGTTAAGTCTAGTAGTTTATTGATGGCATCTTTAGAGTTTTCTATGTACTATATCATGTCATCTGCGAATAATGACAGTCTTCTTTTCCAATTTGGATACTTTTTGCTTCTTCTTCTTGTCTGATTGCTGTGGTTAGCACTTCCAGTACTATGTTGAATAGAAGTGGTGAAAGAGGGAATCCCTGTCTTGTTCCTGTTCTTAGGGGAAATGGTTTTAGTTTTTGCCTATTGAGTATGATGTTGGCTACAGGTTTGTCATATATGGTCTTTATCATGTTGAGATATGCTCCCTCTATTCCCACTTTGCTGAGAGTTTTTATTAAAAAAGGGTGTAGGATTTTGTAGAATGCTTTTTCTGAGTCTATTGATATAATCATGTGATTTGTGTCTTTCAATTTGTTTATGTGATTTATCGCACGTATTGGTTTGCAAATATTGTACCAGCTTGCATCCCTGGAATATATCCCACTTCATCATGGTGTATAATCTTTTTAATATATTGCTGGATGTGATTTGCTAATATTTTATTGAGGATTTTAGCATCTATGTTCATCAGGGATATTGACCTATAATTCTCTTTCTTTTTAGTGTCTTTATCTGGTTTTGGAATTAGGATAATTCTGGCCTTATAAAAAGAGTTTAAAAGTGTTCCTTCCTCTTAGTATTTCTGAAATAGTTTGAGCAGTATAGGTGTTAGTTCTTCGAATGTTTGGCAAAACTCGCCTGTGAAGCTATCCAGACCTGAGCTTTTGTTTGGTGGGAGGTTTTATTATTTATCTTTAATTACTGCTTCTATTTCATCAATTGTTATTAGCCTATTCAGGTTTTCTAATTCCTCCTGATTCAGTTTTGAGAGATTATATTTTTCTAAGATATTATCCATTTCATTGATATTGTCCAGCATATAGCTGTTCATGGTATTATCTTACAATCCTTTGTATTTCTGTGGAGTCAGTGGTTACTTCTCCACTTTTGTTTATGATTTTACTTATTTGGGTCCTCTCTTTTTATTTCATGATAATTTTGGCTAATGGTTTATCAATTTTATTTATTCTTTTTAAAAAAATATATTTTATTGATTTTTTACAGAGAGGAAGGGAGAGAGATAGAGAGCCATAAACGTCGATGAGAGAGAAACATCGACCAGCTGCCTCTTGCACACCCCCTACCGGGGATGTGCCCGCAACCAACATACATGCCCCTGACCGGAATTGAACCTGGGACCTTTCAGTCTGCAGACCGACGCTCTACTACTGAGCCAAACCAGCTTCAGCCAATTTTGTTTATTTTTTCAAAGAGCCAGCTCTTGGTTTCATTGATTTTTTTTTGTATTGTTTTTTATTTCTCTGTATTCTTTATTTCTGCTCTAATCTTTATTATTTCCTTCCTTCTATTATACTTACGCTGGTCTTGTTCTTTTTCTAGTCCTTTAAGTTGTAAGGTTAGTTTATTTCTATTTTTTTGTTTTTTTTGGTTGTATGCCTGTAGTGCTATGAATTTCCCTCTCAGGACTGCTTTTGCTGTATCCCAGAGATTTTGGGTTGTTGTGTGTTCATTTTTATTTGTTTTCAGGAATTTTTAAATTTCTTTCTTGATCTCATTGGAAACTCATTCATTGTTTAGTAACATGCTATTTAGCTTCCATGTGTTTGAATGTTTTTGAGTGTTTTTACTGTAGTTTTATTTCTAATTTCATTCCACCGTGATCTCAGAAGATGCTAGCTATGATTTCAATCTTCTTGAACTTGTAGAGACTTGTTTTGTGTCCTAATATGTTGTTATCTTTGTGCACTTGAGAAGAATGTATTCTGCTGCGTTGGGGTGATATGTTCTATAAATGTCAATTAAATCCATCTGATCCACTGTGTCCTTTAGAGTCACTATTTTCTTAAGTTTTGTCTGGAAAATCTATCCAGTGAAGTAAGAAGGGTATTAAAGTTCCTCTATTATGACTGTATTGTTGTCAACATCTCCTTAAAGTCCTCTAGAATTTTTTTTTTTTTTTTTTTTTAACATATTTAGGTGCTCCTTTTTTGGGTGCATATATGTTTTCCAGGGTTATATCCTCTTGTTGGGTTGATCCCTTTAGTATTATGTAGTGACCTTTTTTGTCTCTTGTGATAGCCTTCATTTTAAAGGCTTCATTCTTATGACAGCATTTTGTTGGGATATGATTATTGTTACTCCAGCTTTTATTTTACTTTCCATTAGCATGGAAATTTTTTTTCCATCCCTTCACTCTCATCCTCTATGTGTCTTTTGTTTTGAGGTGGGTCTCTGATAAATAGCATATACATGTTTTTGTATCTATTCAGCTGTACAACACCTTTTGATTAGATCATTTAATCCATTTACATTTAGGATTATTATTGATAGATACTTATTTATTGCCATTTTAATTCTGTATGGTGAGGTTTCTCTCTCTGTTTCTTCTTCTCATAGCAGTCCCTTTAGCATTTCTTGTAATGAATGCTTGGTGGTGATATACTCCTTTAGTCTTTTTTTGTGTGTGAGAAGCTC